TCACAACTATGAACCTGATTCTTGCGCTCAGAAACATTACACGTACTGAATAGCCTTGCCACGGTCAGAGTAAGAATTTCCTTCTCTCTACAGGAACAATTTCTTTGATTCAACTCTTGAACATTGTAAGAACCAAGTAATCTCAACGATCAATGATGAACTATCAAATCTTTTCAGTGATTCTCATAGGGTTGTACAACCTCAGTAAATCGAATCTAATGTCGATCGAAAAAGTAGTTCTAAGCATAAAAAGCATCATTTGAATCTTCATACCTGTGGCACACTGTGAAATAAAACCACTTTCACAAGTGTATCAGTAAACTGACTTTAATTAGTCAAAAACTTTGAGATGTCACTCATTCCTTTTGTCTACTAAACATATTTCAGTCTTCTGTGGGCAGTCTACCTCTCTGAGATCTAACCTAGAATAATGTCAGCTTATATATTCAGAACAATACTTTACACTTATTGGAAATCTTCATTCTTCAACATATGCAGAAAACGAGTGGAATTGGCTTTTTCCAAAGTAAATAATCATTTATCTTCCTTGACACAATCTAGTTCAAAAAGGCTAGAAATTTATGTTCAGTTTTCCTTTTCTTTGGATGGGAAATTTACGAATTCTTTCGAACCTTCAAGAAATTGTAGTTTTTTGATATAGCTTATTTTTTGCTCCATCACTCTTCATTGAAGTAAAGATTTACCCCTTTTTATAAAATTAAGAGGTAAATAAAATACGCAGTTCATATGCACATTTATCACACCTAATGTCACATTCAATTTTGTAAAAGAAGGTATACAAATTAGCACACACAGAATCTGAATTTAAAAGCAAAGACTTACACATGAATGAATACAGTTCGACAGAAAAATTAGCAACAATGATTACTGTTTAGCACACTCTACAGATGATAATATGAAGTGATACTGTTTTACCATAAAATGAAGGATCTTATTCTTTACTAACAAGCGGATTCAAATTACAAGCCATAGATAGCTAGATGATTCGATTTAAAATTTCATCCAACGATTTTATCACAAAACCATACGTATAGTCACAAACTACTAAAATAGGAAGCACGTCATAAAAACCCAAGAGTTAAAGAAAGATCCAACTTCAAGATTGCGATTATTTGATATTTAACTGACAGAAGGAATCAGATAGAGTCATTTAGGATAGCTAGGCAACGAAATAAATGACACATTAGATTTGTTTATTTGATTCATAACACAATGATACAGTATTATTTACTTGATGACATTTCGAGCATACATTATTGCTCATAGTCATATCAATGTAATCGTACTACTTTCGACATTTAACTTCTGTAGTTACGTCACTCCATATGATTTGTTTATACTGGTAGTAAAATTTTTCATATCTTTGGTATAGGTGTTGCATCATTTCTATTACATTTGTTGAGTGTTGATTCGATGAACACAGATTTCCGTTATCTGATAAAAACAATTCAATAGCAGTTATGGACAGTTTGGATTAATTCAACAAAATTAACGAATACATTCAAACAGGACGATATGAACAAATCAACAAGCCTTTAGATGTGGTCATGAATAAAATTAGGAATCTACAGCCGGTCTGATACGCCGACTCCAGGTGAGTTCAAATGGTTTAATTTAATGCCTAAAACCAAGAATTCCAGGAGAATTTATAGGACTATTAAGGTTCATTAACCAGGTTATCCATCAGACCAATAGACGACTTCAGAAATACTCCAACATATGAACTAGCAAAGAAACTTAGCATCGATATTATGTCCTATTAGGAACCGTTCAAATTCCAGACTGGTAAAATCTTACGAGTTAAAACTTAGGCTTAATGGCCTACTTATAGGAGAGGATGACAAAATGGTTAGCTTCGATGTAACAAGTCTTTATACTAAAATACCAATCAATATGGCACTGGAAGCAGTAAAGAGTCAACTAAATATTGACTCAGAACATACACAACTAAGACATCGGTCGATAATATCATATTAGATGTACAGTTACGCCTGACCTCCACAGTCTTCAAGTTTCAGGACAAAATATATAGACAAACAAAAAAAGCAACAATAGGATTGTCAAATTCCCAGATCGTAGCAGATATATTTAAGGATAATTGGGAAAACATGGCTTTACAAAAATTTAGTCCTACGCTAAAAATATGGTGGTGGTACGTGGGCGACACATTCACTGTCTTGAAATCGGAACATATCGACGATTTGCTCACACATATAAACTTAGTAGTAGGCGCAATCCGATTCACTTATGAGATAGAAAATGAACAAGGAGAATTACCTATTTTGGATTGCAAGATAAAACTAAGGACGGACAGTGGTTTAGATACTGCCGTCTACAGAAAACCGACAAATTCCAGTAGTTGTCTAGATTTCAAGTCATCCCATCCAATGTCTGTTAAGGCAGGTTTAGTCAAATGTCTAAGTGACAGAGCTAGAAAACTGACTACTCAATGCAAAGACCTAAACAAGGAATTAAAATACATAAAAAAATCGCTAATAGTTAATAATTATCCTCCATAGTTTATTAGGAAATTCTTAAGCACACACAAGAAACAAAAAATAACAGTCACACGAGCACGAGTAATAACGACAATACGAGAAAAAAGGAGTTCACAGCCTCCATTGTATTACCCTTAAGGAGGGTACCTCAGAAACTTTACGTAGAATCCTCAGTAGAGCTGGAATTAGGGTGGCATTTAAACCTACAAACTCACTCAGAGATCACCTTTACCGGCTTAAGGATCCGACAGAACCAGTTAAGCAAAATAATCTAATCTATCAAACTCAATGTAATGACTGTGAGTTGGGTCAAGTACATAGGTCGAACTAGTCGGTCGGGGTCAGTTAGAATAGCCGAACATAGGAATTTAGCTAAATATAGAATAACAGACCTAAATAAGATCAATAATCTAGAAAAAACTCGACTATTGATATGCACGCATTAACACACAACCACAGAATAAGGTGGGATAAAGCCACTGTACTTAAGTCCAATATAATTAGGTGGGGAGAGAGATTGATTACTAAATCTTTGTTCATCGAATCAACACACAACATATGTAATCGAAATGATGCAACACCTGTACCAGAGATATGAGAAATTTTGCTACCAATGAAAACAACTCATATAAAGTGACATAACTATAAAGATCAAATGTCGAAAGTAGTGTGATTACATTGATATGATTACGAGCAAAAATTTATGCTCGAAACGTCATCAAGTGAATAATACTAGATCACTGTGTGTTATAAATCAAATAAACAAATCTAATATGAAATTAAATTCTTCCACAGTGCCCAAGTTGTACAAGTGCATTAATGAAAATAAATGACACTGCGATTGACTGTCAAAGTTAAAGCTTTCAAATGCCTGAAAGCTAACTTATTTATTCATTAAGACCCCAGTATCCTTATGATTCAGCTTTTGTGTTCAATCGCATATCTCTTCATTAAGCAAAACTTTGTTACATCTTGAGTTTTAAATGTACTGCTTGTTTGTAAAATTATACTTTATCCTGCCTGCTTTATTTAATAATACCTTTGCTTTTAATGAATTCAGTTGAATGCATCATGTTTTTCAAAAATTCCTGAATGTATATGTATCTGTTGACTAACCTACTGCATCTTATATTCTAGGTGTGAGATTTCTTAGTTTCTAGTCTTGTCTATTTTCTATCAGTTAAAATCGCATAATGCTTGTAGCCATGATGCTCATGAACTCCCTTAAACACCTTCAGGGTTTTTAGCAAATTATTTATATGCCTTGTTGCTGCTTTTTCCTACAATATTTTGATTTGTATCAACTTCAATTACTGACCAAATTTTCATCCTTTCGATAACACATTAAAATTTTTTGATAAACTACTTTTTTGATGACATCGGTTACAATTGGTTTGCCTGAAACAGTCAAAATTATAAAATAAATCCTTATGGCAGTTTCTGACCTTTCTGTCTTTGACTCATTGGACTACATTGATAAGTTTAAGTTGTAATAAATGTCTTCCTTTTATGAATCCTTAGATACTGCCAGTTATCAAGCGTTGGTTGTTTGCGAGGTAGTGGCTAGCTCAGGTACTAACGACATATGTTGCCTATTATTATTATTCTGCTCAAATTAAAGTTCTTATTTCCTCATAAATGGATAGTCTTTCATCTTTGACTGCATAAACAGTACAGGTTTAATTACCTACTGAAATCTAAACCCGTAAAAACGGTTCAAAGACAATCATTTTAAGGATGGTAACTGCCTTAATGTGGTTATGCACACAAAAGGTTTGTTTTCTTATCTCATATTTTGAAACCAGTGTTAATTATAACCCTATTAAACTTTAGCTTGGAAGTAGTAAGTACTGAAAAATACCATTTTCCTTGATGTTTCATTATAGCATTTATTCTTCACCCAGCCTACTGAACCCTTGTCAGAAGAGATTATTAGACAGAATTTCCTTCACAGCAGTTTTAATTTATGATAAAATTGCGAACTAAAAATATAAAAATTACACGTAGTTTTCAGACTGTTTAAAAAAAATTGGTCAGAACGATATTTTGTTATCTACATTGGTAAGATAAATAGTTTTAAAATGAAATTAGTGTCTAGAGGGAACTTTTCTCCACTTTTTGGTATTTTATAGCAAAATATTTAGTATCCTTATTCTAGTACATAAGAATAATAGTTGACTTACAACAGTGAACAACCAGTACCTGAACACAAACATCTAAAAACCAACGATGTCTTTATTGATTCACATTTTTAACAATATAATCAGCAGTACATATGATTACTTACTACAAAGTAGAAAAAAATTGTTGTTTAGACAGAAATCATAGTAAGAAAACGTTAGTAATTTATTCGAAACTTAGGCACTGTATTGTTTTTTGTCGATTTACAGAGATATATAATGATTGGTTCTTATGAACCTATATATTACTGGGGGGCTAACAAAATTTAGCATAGTCTGTAAAGAACTTTTTAGTGATTGGTTCAAACTTAAGATAAATCATTTCACACTAAATTATTATTTTAATTCAATGAATCTTGAACATTTATCAAGATTTTCTTTGAATGCTGCTGATAACAAATGAGATATTTGTTATTTATTCATAATTTTCATTCTATATCACATATAATATGTGGAAAATATAGAAGTCTAATTTTCGGATATATTAGATATATACTGATCGCAGCATCCTAGCATACAATTATTTAATATTTCAGGGAAAAAAACATTTTCGACTGTTATGAATTAAAAATATATTTTAAAACCATATATTCAACTGATAAATTTTTTATAGCAGCAGAAAGATATTTGGAAGGTAAGTGTTTGCAATTAGGTTCATTATGTTGCCTAGTGAATGTATCTTCCACCGATTTAGTGTTCAGTAATATATAATTTCATGTTGTAATTTAAAATAACTTCCGTAAAATTTCATAGTTCTAGATTATTCTTATTTACCTAGATAAATACTTCAGCACTATGCTTAGCAAAAATGTTTTCACGTGGATTTCATATGCATTTAATGGTTCATTAACGTAAATTATTACGCTGGTAATTTCATACAGAATTTATAATAAAAACTACTTACCACCTAGTTTCTTAAATTAGAGTTCTCTATCTTGTAATATAAAATGGTATCAACTTCAAAAGTGATGATGAACCACTGTTAATGGTTCTTCAGTGAACTCAGTTATGACGATGACACGTAAAGCAAAGTATAAATATCAATCTTCAAACATTTAGATAAACTGCTAAGGTACATCTCAATATTGTTGATGCAAACTCCTGAATATGTACATATTACTGTAAGACCTAAAGAAAAACCCATCGAAAAGAATATCCTTTTTCATTCAAATGGCGTTTAAATATTTGCTGGTTCTTTTAATGACTTCTTACTTATGTAACATAGAAATATGCATGCAACTAGTTACATACAAGCATTTAAACATGTTAACAACAGTAAGATTTATGTAACAATGGATACTCGAAATTAACAACCAGAGAAGTTTATTCATGGAAGGGATGTGTAAATAACAGTGAAAGCATAACATCCCAAGAAACTAGTTGATACATATGAGCGTGGGCGTTTAAAATTAGATATATGGCATGAAGAAACTGGGAATTCGCTGGTCCAAGAGCACGTTTAAGTAAGAATAAAAGTTCAGGCTGCTTGCTATAAAACAGTTTAACTTCTGCAAGTTTAGAGATTTAAGACTTGATAGATTTTGTCAAGTAATCTTAGGAAATAATGGATAAGTGAAATGGTGAAACAGTGTTATTTATCACAATTGATTTGAACTCACTTGACTAAACCGTAATGGGAACTGCCTCAGAGTGCATAAAATGAAATTCACAACGATGCCTGATGCAACTAGTTTCAGAGAAATTGTTGAAGTGGTATTCGACATAGGAAGCAGTTAATTTGAGTAGTTCACCCACTTTCTACTAGGATATGAAAATATATCACAATTGTTTAGATTTCAGAGTAGCTCTGGTCAGTCTAAATGAATTCTGAATAACATTTCCCATAGTGTATCACCTTCAAAGTAAACCTGCATTGACGGTTTTGTCTAAAGTTTAATTATATTTCCTCCTTATTTTCGTAGTGATATACTGTCTTGTAAGTACATCAGTAAAATCATATTTGACTGCGGTATTATAATACAGCCTCAGAGCTTCCATCGATTGTGAACCAATAAATCGTATTTTCAATCTATGTTCAAGAGTGCTCACCACGTTTTGTTTACATTAAAAGAAATGAAACACTACGTTCGCAAATACTAAGTTGTTCTTTTGCTTTTTCTGTGGGATTCCTTCTTTATTCCGAAATTCTATTCTACGTTGACTTTCCTTTCTTCATATTCTGTTTATATTCAAGTATACCTAAATCAATTTTTCGTGAACTACAAACCTGTTCATGCCATTCCTAAGAAAGATAAATATGTCGTCAAGATATTGACAATAAAATCAAAATCTACATATAAATTGGTCAGATAGAATATCTCCTAGGTCAGTTATACTATACCTGCCGGTATTTTACTCAAGAGCCAACTTCCTTCAATTTTACCCTCTCATCTGTGACTTTCATAGTTCAATTTCAAATTTATGCCCACAATTATTATTTGAGGCTGACGATTTAAATACAAGTGCATTTTACCTTTTTATTCACTGATTTACATTGATTGTCTCAACGAGTGGCAGATTTGTGAATGGTATACAGTTAAAATTAAAAATATTTTCAAACTTTTAATATTTCTACTGACATCAACTCGTCTTTTTGTAGAATGAAAACGAAGCTGTAGAGGTAAAAATAGATTTCTTTAAAATAACAATGATACCATGGATTAAGAATCAGTAGGATAACTGACTGACGTTACCACAGATTATATCTTTGATCTGTAACGCTTCCTCATTAGATCTAGTGACATCACATATAATTTTTTAAAGAAGTTTTCTAATTCACTGGTTACGAAAGAATTACTCACCTTTTGTAAGGCTACATACCCTAAACATACAAAATCTACCAATTAGGAATAAAACTACAATTGATCTAACTTCTGATATATATATATATATATATAATCGTCTAACAACAAAATCATGTCATAAATATTTAAAAATGAAACTAAGCAGACTTATAACAGGATACATAGCACTCATTGTCATCTAAATTAAACTAAACTGTGACAAACTACATAGATAGCCTGATCCTCTAGCATAGCATCATTATGCATGTGTAACAGACAATTATTTTCTTTAAAAAAATAAATTTATTAATGAACAATACAATTCTTATCGAGTTCATTCTTGTATTTGTTTAACAATTGAAGCAGTTTTTTTTTAGCCCAATCAATAAAAACTCCAAATATATACGTTATTGTTTAGATTTTTCTCCAGACAGCCCTTGAAAAATTGGTGTTGATCACTGAGAACACAACTATTGAAATCTGTTAAAGCAATTATTATTATGAAAGACTTAAACCATATTATAATAATAACCAGATGTTCTAGCAGACAAAACGACCTAGAAAAAAACTACAAATGACAATACAACAAACTGATATCTTTCTTCACATGCTTGTTGTAGTAGAAAAGTACATCTCACGAAATAATATCAGTCTGTATACAGGTGAAATCACCTGTTTTCTAAAAATAAGAAATACAAGGTTTTTCGATTTCTAGTCAGAAAATGATACTCATTGCTACTCCTAAAGATGAAGGTTTATATACAGATGTAGACGGTCAGCTTACTAAAGCAGCTATACTCAATGAATTTATTAAAAATGTTTCTTAAAATTTGACTCCTTCTCCCTACATCTCTTAAAATATATGAGTATTTTTCTATGCAGAACATCTACGGCTATGAAAAGTGATATTATACATATACACTGAAAGAATTGAAGTGTCTTTTTGGAAGATAGCTGCTACAGTTTACTTGAGCTCCTTTGGTCGACAGTTTCTTAAATACCTACACTGCTATTATGTCATAATAATAAGTCGAACAAGCCTCCAGAACTATGCTATCCTTTGTATCATATTCTGTAAAACAGAAATTGTCTGAAAGGACATCACGAAAAATAAAGTTAGCCAACTTGATGCAAGCATATCATTCATAAAGGAGAATAAAATCGGAAAACGTTTTATATAAAACTATTATTCCACAAGAAGTACCTTCTTAAGCTTTTCAGAAACTTTTTGACTACCATAGAGCAGAAGAAGTGACAAAAATGTAAGGAAAACAGTAAAATTTCCAGATATTCAGATACAGAAACTTATAAATGGGAAGTTAAATACATGAGAAATTCCAAGCAAAGCACACAGAAATCAGAAATGCACCTTTTCATGAATGCGCAAAATTAAGGTTCTTACGTGAAGTTAGATTATATAAGACAGGTGATAAAACACTTCACATGACTACCTTTTTATCTTTCAGCATTTCATCCTAAGATTACGTGGTATTCTATTAATACTACCTGATGAGTGACTACTGTATACAAAACCTTTTTCAAAGAAATAACTTCCTGTCGAATTTTTCAGCTGTAACATGTGAATGTTAAGCTAAACCCCTCATTAAAGAACCTATGAAAAGAGATTCCTTTTTCTTAAGGGTGTGAATGCATTGCCTGAAGGAGTATCAATAGAAATCACTATCTCAGATCACTTCACTGTGTCGAATATGACCAACAAATTCGACTTACATTCTGAAACACATAAGCAACCACCCAGTTTGGTCCAGGTTAGTTCTATAAACATACTTTTCAGTAATATATTGCATTCATTATCTTTAAAATGCAAGTCACAGTGAACAAATTTCTTTCCATGAAGGTTAATTAAACCATAAATGTTACATATTTAAATATTTTTCATAGCCTTATTAGTGCCACCTAAACGTTTTACACTATTTAATGATATTATGTACGTTACGTATGTCATAAACCTTCAGAGATTTCATAAAATTCTTAAGTAGAGTTGTTCAAGAGATGTTATGAGCAGTGTGGATATTTATCTCTTTGTGCAAATTTTATTAACTTCATGAAGAGATATTTATCAAGTGAATCCTGATGTTGTTTACCTTGGTGACGGAAGTTCACAGAACAAAGCTCACATTCGGGCAAATACGAAACAATTACCACACTTTGATATATGTTTAAAATTGAAAAGGACAAACAGTACTGCGGTAAATAATTTACAGTTAAGTTTTAAATTAATTGGGTGGACAGATTTTAATCATCTATGGGAGTCTTTAACTGTTTATTACGCTGAGGAAATTTGCTTAAATATGAAAACATTTTTCTTCACTGAATCTGATTTGACAACAGGGTTTGCAGAATACTACTAATCAGCTTTCTAACAATACAGTTAGAAACTGTTTTTCATTACAATCTCTTGAATTTATTGTCTGTTAATTGTCAACGGTACTTAAAATTTAAATACAGTTACTTCAAAGTTAGTTAGTTTACCTCTGGCTGCAAATGAGTGTTTGGTTCATTACACTGCTCAACTCCTACTCCTACCCTCCACCCTAATTCTCAATATGCGAACAGAAGAATTTGTAGGCAACATTTGTGAATGGGGTTTAGACTATCAAGTTTGACGGACTATCGTAGTCGTTCACTTCAGTGTTGGAAAAGCGAAATCTGCACAAACTTTGCTGTGCTCGTTAGCATTTGCTGACAAGGCCTATATTCAGACAAAGTGATATATTCCCATTGTTGGCACAAGAGAATCCCTACTGAAACTTGACTTAAAGTCCTTCTTCTTGATCTTTATTATAGTCCAACCGTACAAAGACAGTTATTTTTTATGTTAGTTCAGTTG